GCTGGATTGCCTCTTTATATCTTGAAGAGATTAAAAACCTGTAGCCAGGTCTGTAATCTTTGAACTGGAAGCCTTCACATACAGTTCTGCTTGTAACAAAAACTCCACCCAGATGATATAACATACCTTAGGGACCAACAATTATATTATACAGAGGTCCTGTCCACACGAGGTGATTTGGGCCAGTTGCGGGACAGTTTGGGGGCGGATCAAACCAGCGCGATCACACCACAACATCTGGGAAGCGTGGTGCTTCCGTCCCCGAACTGGCCCTTCCCCACTCAAATCCGCTTCAAGTTGAAACCACCTACCTTAGTGGTTCAACTTGAAGCCGCGCTTCTAGCCGGGCGTTTGATCGCCGGCACCTCCTTGCGCCGGCACAACCCCGGCCCGGAGCCGAACTGCACATGCTCTGACATGCACAGTTCGGCCGGCTCCCGATTAGGGCCGTGTTTTCTCCCTGGCGTTTGATCGCGCCGGGGAGAAAAGGCGCCGCGGCCAGGGGATCCGTGGGATCCCGCCGCGGCGTCTCAACGTTGGTGCGGCTTTTAAAATCCGCACCTTAAGAGGCTTTTCCCCTGCCACGTGGCAGGGGGCAGAATATCATCATCAGTATACCTAATTCTCAACTTGGCCAGATCTGTGGATTTTTAAACCCAGAGATAAAAGCCACAAACAGACAAGACAGATCTTTCTACAAGCCTAAAAAACCTCATTTTGGCAGAAAACATGAAATTAAAGAAATACATTGAGTGGTGGGGAATTACAACCTCCCAAAATGATAGAATGAGTGCTTGCAGTTTTAAGAAATGGGTACTCTCAGTGGCTGTTGCTAGGCAGCCTTCAAGCCTTGGTTTCTGTCACTAAAGGGCAGTGGAAGGGGCAGGGTCCTTTTGGATTCTGAGGAAGAAATTTTTGCAGCCAGACTTGGCAATAGCCACCAGGAGACTTGCTAGCATGCAACTTGCATGACTTATCCAGGCCTGGTTGGTGGCTATTGTTCAGCAGCAGCTACCCTATGAAAGCCAGTGTGGTGGTGTTGTCAGAGTTTCAGAGCAGGATCTGGGAGAGCCAGGTTCAAATCCCACACTCTGCTGTGGATGCTCACTGGGTGACTTTGGGCTAGTCATACACTCTCAGCCTAATCAACATGACACTATTGTTGTGAACATAAAATGGATGAAAGGAAAATGATGTAAGCTACTTTGGGTCCCCAGTGTGGCAAAATATAGCTTAAGATGGGGTGGCAGATACAAGGCAGGTTGCTTGTTGAATGAGAAGGAGAAAAGGAAGAACGGAAAGGTAAGGAAATGGGAGCTGCTAAAAGAAGGTGAGATAGCAATAGCATGGGGAAGGGATACAGGGAAAAGTAAGGGCCCTCTACAAGACCTTCGGGTTTCCCAATGTGCAACTGGACCCAGCTCTGCTGGCATGGTACCTTTTGGCCAGCGTTTCCCAGGGAAAGGCTGCCAGGGGAGAGGTTGGACAGAAAGCTGAAGACAGGCAAATAGGCTGGCTGGTGTATGGAAAACAGAGAAGGATGTAGGAAAATGGGATAGGCTACTGGGGCTTTCAGGAAAGGGAAGAGGAAATATAAAGGAAGAGGAAAATGAAATGCCCCCCTCAAGTCCTTATGGATCCCCCCTTGTAGAATTATAATTTCAGGATTGCCATCTGAATGCTTCATCTCCCTTGTTCTTATTAGTATTAATAGTTTAACAGTAGCATGAAAAGCAGGTTCATAGTTCATTGGTTTTACTAATGATACCATACAATACACTTTTTCTTACATGTGGTCCCCAAATTTCATCTATTTCCTCAAGTGTTAGGTCTTGGTCTTGGTCTTTCTGAATCATACTATGCCAGTTCTGGGCATAACGTGAACACTGTGCCTGTTAAAAGAATATAAATATACAATTTTTTAAAGATCCCCAACATGAATCCTTTGAAGACAGTACAGCACTTCATGCTACAATGTCATTATAGTTCAGCAGACTTTTAATTATAAAATACTTAATTACTTTTTAAAGACATATTTTATGCTATCATCTCATTGTCAAATTAACCCTTATGAAATTCTTAAAAATGTACTCTTCAGTCTTACTAATTGGTAGCTGCAGCAGCAGCACAAGCAATGGCTTCCATTTGCCAGGCAAATCACACACAGCTAAGATGGGGGAGCTGGAGTACTTGGTGCTCAATGACAGATATAGCAGGTATCTCAGGAATGGGAATGGGGATACAGTCATTCCTGGGTATAAACTCTATATGCAGGACAAAGTGGGATGGGTTGGTGGAGTTGTTATATTGTATATCAGAGATGACATACAATCAAATAAGTTAGAAAACATTAGTGGATAACTCCCCAACAGAAGCAATATGGGTGGAAATACTGGGCCCTAAGGGTTATTTAAAAGTGAGGGTGTACTAACACCTACCTGATCAAACCCTTGAGATTGATCTTGAGATGGAGAAGGAAATAAAGTGGTGACTAAAGTAGATACTGGGAGACTTCAACTACCCTGAAATTGGTAACACAAGAAAGTCAAATTGCTAGAGAATGCTTGGGAGCTATTTAAAACCACACTAATTGAAGCCCAGATAGAATGCATTCCATGGGTTAGGAAATGCAGTGCCAAATCTAAAAGAATGCTTGCATTGTTAACAACGCAAATCAATGAAGCTATAAAAAGTAAAGAGGTTTCTTTTAAAAAGTGGAAGATCTGCCCCAATGAATTGAACATAAGGGATCACAAGCTCTGGCAAAAAATGTAGGTCAATAATAAGGCATGCAAAAGAGACTTTGTGGAGCAGGTTCCTAAAAGCATCCAGACAAACAATAAACATTTCTTTAGATATATCTAGAGCAGGAAACCAGCCAGAGAAGAAGTTGGGCCTTTGAATGACCAAGGAATAAAGGGATCGCTAAAGGAAGACGGGGAGATGGCAGAGAAGCTCAATGAATTTTTGTTTCTATGTTCACTGTGGAAAGTGTGGAGCATGTACCCGTGCCACAGCCACTATTTTCAGGAAGGGAGTCTGAAGAACTGAGGCAAATTGAGGTGACCGGAGATGAAGTTCTACACCAATTGAGGAAATTAAAAACAATAAGTCTCCAAGTCGTGATGGCATACACCTGAGAGTTCTTACAGAACTCAAATGTGAGATAGTTGAACTATTAACCTGAATATGTAACCTATCACTAAATTCAGCCACTGTGACCTGGTAGACATACCATACTTGGACTTTCAAAAGGTTTTTGATAATGTACCTTACCAAAGACTCCTGAGAAAACTTAGTAGTCATGAGATAAGAGGACGGCTTTTCTTATGGTTTCAAATTGATTAAATGACAGGAAGCAAAGAGTAGGAAAAAATGGAAAGTTTTCACAATGGAGGGAAGTAAGCAGGATTAGTATTGGGGCTGGTGCTATTTAATTTGTTCATAAAAGAGCTGGAACTAGGAGTGAGTAGTGTAGTGGCCAAGTTTGCACATGACACAAAATTATTCAGGATGGTGAAAACCAAGGTTGACTGTGAAGGCCTCCAAGAGGATCTCCACAAATTGGGTGAGTGGGCAACAATGTAGTAAATGAAGGTCAGTGGTGGTAAATGTAAGGTGATGCACACTGGGACAAAAAATCCCAACTTCAAGTATAGGCTAACAGGGTGTGAACTTGCTGAGACTGAGAGGGGAAAAGATCTTGGGGTCATAGTGGATACCTAACATGAAAGTGTCTGTCCAGCATGCTGCAGCAGTGAAAAAGGCAAATTCTTCTGTTAGGGATTGTTAGGAAAGGGATTGAATATAAAATGGCTGGTTGGCCACTGTTTAAGACAGGATGCTGGACTAGGTGGAACACTGGCCTGAACCTACAGGGCTCTTCTTGTGTTCTTATGTTCTCCAAAATCAGACTGGAAAGATGGAGCTATCATTGCATGAAGGCGCAAAAAGTTTCTTCTGACTTCTCATTTTGTATTCAATCTACTGTAGAAAGCATAATTCAGTATACCACCACCAACGGACTCTTTTGTTTGTCAAAATGCTAAAACTCTGTCATTAAAAATCCAAAATATTATATGGTAATAAATTCTAGTAAGCAAGAGTGGTAATATAAGTGAGAGGGGGATTCATTATAATTAATAAATAAAATTGAATTAATAATTTTATTAATAATATTAGTAATAAAACTGAAAATGAGTATTGGGCACAAACAGACAAGGACAAAAACTTTGTTGCAGCATACTGCTAACACTGCTATGCTCAAAATTCTTACAGGCACTCCATCTGAGGATACAAACACCAAACTGGTTCCCCCATTCTTCCAACTGGGGCAGTATGAACAGTGCCATCTTGCACAAGTAAAGAAGGTAGGGGGATCCTCCACTTATACATGGACTGCTACAAATCTTCTCCTTCCCACATAAATATACCTACTATTAGGGATGGGCACAAACTGGGTCAAAAGGAAAAATCTGGCATGAACTTGGGCCGGTTTGGAACTTGGGAAACGATGTTCAGCGAAGATGCCTTCCCTGAACATTCACCTGAATTTTGGCTGGTTTGGTTCGGCTCTTCAAGGCCAGCCATTTAAACCTAACAGCAATGGGGTGTGCAGGGTCCACTGGTGAGCTGTTTGGTTTAAATGGCTGGCTGGCAGCAATTTAATCCCCTCAGTTTTGCTCCCCCCCCCCCCGGAACAGCTCAACCAGTCTGCCGGTCAGCTGTTAGGTTTAAATGGCTGTGAGCCATTTACCCTTCAGTTTTGCTTCCCCTCCCCTTCTGCTATCCATGAGATGTGGGTTTTAGTCCTGCCCTCTCCTTGTATTTTGCTACTGATCAACTTGTTGGTGGCCAAAAGATGTACTTTGCCATTATTGTTGGAATATGCAAGGTCTATAGTGCAGCCTTATGAAGAAGATCTGAAGATCATCCTAAAGGGGGACAGCTGAAGGACTGGTAGTTAGCATAGCTAGATTAGGGACTGCCCACAATTTCAAATTATATACTTGCTGTCTCCTGGATGCTCTTCTGGAGACTTCCTGCTCCTGCAAAGCTTTTTTCTTGTTATTCCTCTCACAGCAGTTAGTTATTAGTTAGTTGGTTAGTCTCTCTCTCTCTCTGTTCTATGAAAGTTTGTTCTTCTTTAATAAACCAGTTTATCTTTCTTTAAACAGTTGGTGGTTCACTTTCTTGCATATTTAAACTCTGCTGACAGTTATCAGGTTATTTTTCTGTGGGATTCAAACCATCCCACTCCTGTTTTTCCCTCAGTGAGCTTTAGTCCCCAGAGAGCTTTGGGAAGGGGGCAGAATAATACAATTGTCTTCTGTGAATGTATTCTTCTGTTTTCTCTTCTTGCTGTCCTAATATGAGCGTTCTTTGCCTTGCAAAAAGCCTCTTCTTCAGAGCATTATTCCCCTTGAGTTCTGAACTTTTACTTGAGAAGGCCCTTGGAATTCTGTGGTTCTGTAAACTATGGCTGGTGAGGTGATGCAGTTCTAGTAGCCATGCTTCATTCCCTCTGTGTTCACCTATCAAAAGGGTATTTGTAGGAGGGGATCCAAACACTCATTTGCAGAGTTCCCAAGAATGTGGTCGTTACCAGGCTCATAGTGGACACACTATGGTCCTCAGTATAGCACAGTGTGCTGGCTTTCTTCTGTTCCTTTCCTTGGTGTGTTGTATGTGTGAAGTGGAGGCTGATGGCAAGGAAGTATCCCAACACTGCCTTGCATTGGTTGGCTATTCACATAGAGGTGTTGTGGTGGGTACGGTGTGCCACTGTGGGGTCCAATGCACTTGTTCTGTTCCCAGCTCCATGGAATTGGCTATTTTTTGGCATTTAATTTATTTACTGTGAGAACATATTTATTATGCTGGCACAGTGCCACCATCAGCATTACACTGGTATCCAGAGTTTGCAATTGAGCTGCCTAGTTCTGTGAGAAGAAATTGATTAAAAAATCTGCCTTCAAGAAATATAAAAACTAGTTGTTGTAGAGTTTCTGGGCTGTATGCCTGTGGTCTTGGCATTGTAGTTACATTGTGTCACATTGACACAGAGAGTACTCCATCTTTCTATGTTATGCCTCTGAGGATGCCGGTCACAGCTGCTGGCGAAACATCAGGTACTACAATGCCAAGACCACGGTCATACAGCCTAGAAAATCTACGACTAATGAACTCAGGCCGTGAAAGCATTTGACAAAATATAAAAACTGTATACACATTCCAATTCCTATCTCCCCTTATATATAATTCTGTTTTCGAGTGGCCACATTCCATGTACTCCCTCAGCCGTTGGCCCGTCAGCTGCCACTCAAGAGTACTCGTGTGCCATTGGCTGGGTGCTGGGTCTGCTCCTCTTCCTCGCCCACTTCCACTTCAGCCACTGTGCCCTGTCAGAATTACTGGCAAATGGCTTTCTCGATGAAGATGCTTTTCCTGCTTGCCTCTTGTGTGGGACTAACTTTCCCCTCTGTGGCTGTTGGTAGGTGTAACGAAATGGCAGTTACCTGTGTTTGTAAGATGTGGTTCTTTGTTTAAAATGTTCCCCCATAAGGTTTAATTGAGCTGTAGTTCCAGAGAGGGGCCTGCAGGAGTATCACTCACTGGGTTGAATGGGGTTTCCTCATCTGCTGGCCTAGAGTTCCCAGCTATCCCCAAGGCCAAAAAGTGTGGGAAAACACGGACTGTCCCAATGGGCAGGGTAGCATCAATATAGACTGCAGCCCATCCAGGGAGGAGGCAGTCTTCGACCCTGGGAGGCAGCAGAAATTCAGCCACTCCACAGTTGGCTGGACTGGGAAATGAATGAAAACTTCCCTGCTCTCTTGGGCAAGAGAGAGAGGCTGAAGCACAGCCAGTCCAAGGAAATATCCTATCCTGA